GAGAGAGAGAGAGAGACGTGGCTCCTTTTGGCCACGTGCCCTCTCTCTTTGGGCATATGATCGCAAACCACATTTCCATTTTTCTTTGTTTAGTTATTTATTTAATTCTAAACAACTATTTCCTTCTTTTTTCACTTTTTGCTTCGGATCTTTCTTAATTTTTCTAATTTAGTGTTTGGCGATTACTTGGCGAGTCACTTGGACTCACATGAGTTACTCCCCTAGGGCCAGTGGCAAGTACTTGGCCCATGGCGATCTTCGGCACACCGCTTAAGACATCAACGAAGTGATCAACACATGTACAGGTTTTTGTCTCTCAAGTATTTCTCCATAGTCCAACCTGGATAAAGCATGTCACCTGGTTGGGCATCCCACTGTAGCGACAATCTCTTGCCTGGCAACAAATGTAACACTCCATTTCTCAAAATTACCATGCGAGCTCTACTTTTCTCCCAGCAGTTTGTAATTTAAATATTCGACCAATTAGGCCTATTAAAATTGGAGTCAGCTATATAGTGATCCCTAGTTACCTTAACTGTTAGGAAATGTCTATGGAAGTATGAACGGAGAGCAGCTGGAGGGACTGTTTTCATTAAAATCTAAATTCCCTTAGGAGGGTTTCAGAAGTGGCAATGGCACCAATGTATAAGGTCATGCAACTGAAGGATGATCAACACTCACTCTTTCTACCTACTCTTGCCCCATAAAGACCATGTACCATTCATTGTTTTAAAAGCGGATCGCCCAACGCCTAGGCGGTCCAAAGAGACGGACTGACCCTAGGCGGCCTAGGCGGTCCAAATAGACAGATTGACCCTAGGTGGCCTAGGCGCTTAAGAAGCCTAGGCGAGCGCTCAACACCTAGCACTGGGTGGAAATGCCTCTCATTGAGGGGCATTTTTAGGCTTTTTTTTTAATAAAAAAAGGACAAAATTTGTGGGTTTTAGATTCATTTGAAACCTTAACTTCATTAGGGTCTATTTTAGAGAGAGAAAAACTCCAAAAAAACTAGTTTTTTTGTGATTGCCATAGGATTGAAGGGTTTCTCAAAGTTACGAGAAATCAATCTAAGCATCATCTATTGATATTAGATTTAGTTTTGGAAGTTTTATTAGTCTATTAGAGTGTCTTTTAGAAGATTTTGACCTTAGAAAACATCTTAAGGTGGAAGTTTGGAGATAAAACAATCAAAGTTAGTGAAAATTTTTAATTTAGTGAAAATTTTTATTTTTTAGATTGTTTGTATTATTTTGAGATGTCTTCTTCAAGAGCTAATCGAAGTGGTGATCTGGGTTCGAAATATGACTACAACTCGAATCCTTTGGATAAAAATTGCATAAGATGCAATTTTTGTGAAAAGGATACAAAGAGGGGCATAAACCGATTCAAGAAACATCTTACCGGCATCAGGGGGGATGTTGCCTTGTGTAAAAACGCTTCTGATGCTGTTAAAGAGGAGATAAATTCTCTTACAACTATTGTAAAAATAAAAAACGATGAGAGATAGGCATCCATAGTAGAGATGAGGTCTGGAGTTCGGGCCTATGGTTTGTTTTTTGCTCTGTCTGACCTTGAGGTTGCAGGAGAGAAAAACAAAGAAGCGAACCACCATTGAAAATAAACTCAAGAACGAAGAGAGAGAGAGAAAGCTGTGCCAATATGTTGCTAGATGGTTTTATGAGGCGAGCATTCCTTTCATTACCGCTCGCCTAAGCAGTTTCTACAACTTGGTAGAGGCAATTGGCCAATTTGGGCCTAAGATAAAACCCCCAACCCCATATGAGCTTTCAGAGCGTCTTTTGAAAAAAGAAATGGGCATCATGAGGTATATTGTTGATGTTAAGAAGGAAGCATGGGCTCAGTATGGAGTTTCTGTTATGACTGATACTTGCAGTGATCGGAAGATAAGCAGCCAGATGAATTTGCTGGTGACTTCTTCTTTAGGGACTTTGTTTTGAGGTCTATTGATGCCTCTGATTATAGCCATGATACCCCATTACATATTCCAAATTATGGAGAAGGGAATCAAGGAGGTGAGGAGCTGCATGTTATACAGGTTGTCACATAAAATGTTGCTGCTGCTAATTTGTTGCGCATAGTTTACCCTAGAATCTTTTGGACACCATGCACAACACATTGTATAGACCTCATGCTTGAGGCTCTTGGCAGTTTGAGTGAAATTTCAGGTGCAGTGAAGAACGCAACGTTACGAATTTCATTTATAGTCACACTCTCACCGTTAGCATGATGCGTAGATTTGCAAAGAAGAAAGAGATTGTGAGGCTTGGGGTCACGAGATTTGCGACCTCATACTTATGCCTAGATAGCATACATTTGAGGAGAGTTTAGTTGAGGCAGATGTTTACCTCGAATGACTGGAGAGCATGCAAGTGGTCGAAGGATCAGGTTGGGAAGAAGGGGAGAGATATTATCCTTTCTAAGGTTTTTTGGCGAGGGGTGAAGGGCGCTCTTAAGATATTTTTTCGTCTTGTCAAAGTCCTTTGCATGGTTGATAGTGATAAGCCTTCTATGGGCTACATATATGAGGCTATAGAGAGATGCAAGAGAGAGATAGCCCAAAATTTAGATGATGATGTGAGCCGCTATAAGCCTATTTGGGAGATTATTGATGAGAAGTGGGATAGGCAGCTACATCGGTCATTGCAGCAGCTGGTTATTTCTTGAACCCAGATTTTTTTTATGCTGATAGGGATATACACACAAATGATTGGATTTAATAAGGGTGTAGATGTGCTAGTCCCTAATCAGAATATCCAGGATATTATATGCGTTGATGAGCTGATAAGTTACAAGTGCGGATTAAAGTCTTTTGGGAGTCCAATGGCGATGAGGCAAATGACCAAAATTGATTCAGGTAATAATATTCTTAAGTTCCTTAAGTTCAAGTTTCATTTCATGTTTGTAGTTCGTTTTCCATACTCTGTAAATTTATAATTCTATTAGTCTATATCTTAATATTTCATATATAGTTAACAGTTATAAATTTGTAATTCAAAATCAATTTGCAGCCAATTGGTGGAGCCAACATGGGTGTAGTGCTACAAATTTGCAAAAGTTGGCCATTCGAATCTTAAGCCTAATCACTACCTCGTCTAGTTGTGAGCGGAATTGGAGTACTTTTGAGATGGTAATTTGTATTAATAATTTAGTACTTTAGTAGTTATTAGTTTAGTTAGTTAGTTACTTAGTCTTGGACTCTTAGTTATTTTACTTATGTTAGTTGTAAATTTGTCGTTTTGTAGTCTTACCTATTATATATTTGATTATTTTAATTAGTTTCACTTTCATTTGATTTATTAGATTCATACAAAGAAAAGGAACAAGCTTAAATCTAAGAGGCCCGATGACCTAGTTTATGTCAAGTATAATTGATACTTGAAGGACAAGTTTGCTAAGAGAGATAACAGAGACCCCCTCAGATCAAAAAATATGGAGAATGATATGGAGTGGTTGGTTGATGATAATCAGGTCGAGGGGCATGAAGGATTGACATGGGATATGGTCATGGAGGCCTCCTGGACATCTGCCAACCCTCCTAGGGCCACTAGATCTTCTTCCCAGAGGGCAAGGGTGGAGAAAGAGGATGAAGCAGAGGCAATTTAGAAGAGACAGAGGAGGACAACCATTATGTCGAGGAGGGAGATGATTCCGATGATGATGGCTTGGACTCCGATGCATATGATGTAGATGCATCTGACCCTACTTTTTCTGATGATAACTGATGAATGATGAATGATGGATGATGATTGAAGATTCTTTTGAGTCTTCAAGTCTATATACTATATTTTTTTCATTTTCTTTGTCCTCCTCTTAGTTGTGTATTGTGGATTTGTGGTTCATTGGTTTGGTAACTTTGGTTTGTTTTAAGTTTTAATTATGTGTGGAGTGTGAAGTGTGGAGTGTGGACTATGGATAATTGGATATGGACTTATGGAGTATGGCGGAGTGTATGTGATTATGTGCTATGTGGACTTGTGTACTATAGACATTTGATGTGCCCTAAGTCCTTAATTCTTGTCTTATGTGTTATACAGTTATACTGTTTGACTATGGACACTTTTCTTTCTACTGAGCCACCAAGGTTCTAGGCGTCCGCCTAGGCGCTGGGCGGCCTGGACCCCCCTGCAGCCTAGGCGCCACCTAGTGTTTTTTGAAACGCTGGTACCATTAAGCTCTCTAATTGACTGGAAAACCCATGAATAATTTGGTATTTCTTTGGTGTAAAGTCAATCAAGCCAATCTCATTTAGGGCAAGGGGCTTTGAAACCTCCAGACCTTCTCAGTTGGGTGTAGAGAGGGTTTTAATTTTGCCCGTTGATGAATGTGGCCTAGTTTTTGATGTTGTGATTTATATTTTTAGTTTTTATCAGTGATTGAGAAGTAGGACTCGTGGTTAGGACTCGCTAGTGTCCTGATCTTGAGTCACCTAATCGAACTTGGGTGGTCCTGAATCAGACTGACGCTATTTTAACAAAGAAAATGAAAATAATGTGAGGGTTCTCCCCTAGAATCGTCATGGCACCGGATCCCGATTTGGACTTACTTGGGCAAGTCCCAAGTGGGCCCAATGATTTTTTTTTTAATAACTATTTTTTTATCGCTATAGTATTGAGTAATGAGGTTTACATCAAGTTGCCTTAGGCATGCACTTTTAAAGGCACACGAATCAATCAATACAGAGAAGATAAAATAAAAATAAAAGGAAATGGAAATTGGAAATTGTTAAAAAAAACAAAAGAATTGGAACTTGGAAAATAAAAGTAAGGTGAGAGGAATTGTTTCCCCCAATTGAGACAGAATTCTCCTGCCTTTCTTAGGTGAAGGATCTCGCCCGACCATTTGCTTCACTGACCTCATTACTTATCCTGAAAATTCCCTCCAATTCATTTGTTACAAAATATTTTGGGTAGTCCATCACTTTAAATGTCCTATCTCATGACGTTAAGTGAATCATGATTTGTTTTACATAGGGTATTGCTATCTGAGTTTGTAATTTGCCAGTCACTCTCTGTACCTCATCTTCTTGCTCTCGATCTTGTTTAAGGAAGTGAAACTTGTTAGATATCTTGTGATAATGAAACACCCTTCTCTGCATTGACTAGAAAGTGATTCTTCTTTGTAGCTCAAGTCCATAGGGGAATTCTTTGCCCTTTGTTGGGGAAGTTTTGGTCACATGTATGCTATGTACAATGTAGTATTATTGATATAAATTAGTGCAATTGTACTCTTTTAGATCATGCATTGATATTGGAACGGAAATCCAGGGGCTTCTATTGATTTTCTCTTGGTGGTTATTATAAAGGGGGTTTCTGTTGATTCCAGATATTAGCACTTTCTTTTTCTGTAAGGAATAGGTCGTATTTCTTTTGGAGCTGCACTGTTTTCCTAATTTTTAACTGAAAGTGTTATGAGCTTCTGTCATATATTTGTGCCCCTTTAAGATGAACCATATTTATAGCCATATATACTAAATAATATTTGGTGACATTCATCTGACTCTTAAAATTCTTTTAGGAAACTGCATGAACCTAACATGAGTTGCACCCATGAGGTGTAGAGCTTGGTGCATAGATGGTTCCAGGAAAGAAGTTCTCGATTGTGGGGAGATAAAATGCAAAAGAGAGAAGCTGAGGATATCGGAAACTCTTATGGGAGACTCCCTCATCAGCTTTGGAACGTTAACAAGTTTGGACCTTGTGTTGATGCAGCAGTAATTGGTATAATGCCTCCTCCGCTGATGGAATATGAGGTATGATACATGCTATTTTTTGACCGTATTTTCTGTATGCTTTATGTCTGTTAGTGCACTTATTCTTTTAGGAAATATTTAGTTAAGGCTTCCTGTTATTTTCTTTAAGCATACCAGCCTCTGATTCATATATTGTACTTCTCTGATACTGTTTATTAAGTTGTTCTAGTTGAGAATAGAGGAAGCTATCTGAAGGTATTCTGGTATTTGAATTCAGCTGCTTTTATTGTTGAGCAGTCAAGCCAGCGTTATTATTGTGCAGTCATTATTGGGCATGATGCTGTAATTTCAGCATTCAGGTGGTTTTATTTCTGCTCTTTTCCCTTTGAATATTTTATTCCCGTTTTTCCATCAAAAGTTGGAACTGCACGCCTTTTAAATTTAAAGAAATTGCATATACTTGAAGGGCACTGTGAGTTTCTGCTTGTTTTCTTCTTCTTTACATGTTTTTATTATTTATTTCCTTTTATTTCTGGAAAGTAACTGCACTGTATGTGCCTTTAACTTGTTATGCATATGGTTCACAGGCTTTCAGAAGACCGGAAGAGGTCTTTGGTAGGAACAATTCTGTCAAAGGTTGTGCCAGCTACATTTTCAACACTCACATCCTTGTCCAAAATGATTTGGCGTAGTGATGAAGCCTCAACAAGACCAGTTGAGGTGAAGCCTCAAGCATTTGCTAAAGGTGAGAATTCGTGGCCTGATCACTGAAAGCTATCTTGTTTATTTAGTTGGAATCAGTTAATTTCCTATATTATGTGTATTTTTTTCCCTTCATTCTCTCTGCTATTTTAGCCTCTCCAGATGCATCTTTTCCTGGGGTTCAACCATTTCTCATAGTGAAATCTGAACTAGAATTTCACTGGTATTTGTTTCTTAATTGTAGGTTTCTTTTGTAAAATTTGGAATTGTTTGGATTGTAAATGTAGTTCAGGATATATATTACCATTCAACAGGGAAGATAGAACTGAGATTGTAATGCTATTACTCCAACCTGTCTGGAGTGTTGTTCTGGAGGTTGATTGTTCTTGGGGTTTGTAAGTGCAGTTAAAGATATAATCAATTATCATTACAATCTTGTGATGTGCATTTTTTAAATTGAATAGCACACTTTACAAACAAATTCGCAAGTCATGTGGTGGAAGAGCTCACTACACCTCTTCAAGAGGTTTGTGAATTGTTTTTTACAGTCTGAATTACATACTAAAAATTTTAGACCAATGAAAAGTTTTGTTCACTGGGATTTTAACCCAAAACCATGTCAATGTCTTAGAGTCCATTCTGCCACGTATGCCATGGGATTTAGTTGTAATAATATTATATAAGAGACTTCTTATGGAAGGCCAACACATACTAATATACCATGAAATCATCCAGCATGTATGATCAAGGTGTCGAGGCAATGTTTACAAGTGTTGACACGTGACACCAAAAGAAAATGGGAGTTTGGGGGTAACACTGGTATGATCTAGTTGAGAGGGAGTGTAGTAAACATGGTGTGTGACTATCTTGGTACTGCTTCTATCGGTAGTAAATCAGCCTACAAAATTTGCTTCTCTAGACACAGGGTGAGAGGAAACAGATGGTTGGTTAAATTAGCAATCCTCCATTATCTCTATGAGTCTCCATGGACAATCATTCGCAGCTCAGGCCCATCTAATGGTGTTAAGCAATTCACCTTCTACCATTGGGGGCAATGCCAATGTGGTATTACAATTTTAGGGCCAGGAAGCATTGCTCAGGTCTCAGCCTCTGACAAGTCGTAAAACTCCTTCGGCTTGGAGCAGACATAAGTGATTCTCACACAGCGATACGACTTGTTTTTTCCATGCTTTGGGGTGCTGATTCCACAAACCATTTGAGATGCTGATTCTGTGAAACCCAAGTTTTTTATAGTGCTTATTCTGTAGAACACTGTTAATTGCACTTGATTTTTCATCCTCAAGAGCTATGCCATCCATCTTCTGCATCTCCATACCATCCACACTCCTTATCCATTCTCTCTTCAACCCAAACTTCCCAGTCACCGTCTTTTCATCCCCATGTTACCATAATCACCATCCTCTTGCTCTAACATCCACGCCCCATCCATCACCCTACAAGACCAACAAAGTTGCATCCCAACAAATCTAATCCACTACTGACCAGCCACACCATCTCTACATAAACCTTAACCATAACAAAAAATCTAATCCCTTGTCTTGAGTCAGCACAGCCTGTATGAGGCCACCAAAGAAGAAGCAAAAAATTGAAAAAATAATGGAAAAATCAGAAAACAGGAAAAGCGAGAAAATGTGAAAAAGAAATTAATTACAAGATTATTTATCTGATTTTACTATTTCTTTCATATTTGAGGAACTACACAAGAAATTGATGAAGAAATTACATGAATGCAACAAACTAGATGAAAGAAAATATAACAAGATATCTAAAGAACTCGTGATATTTTTTTAAATAAAAATTCATTCTAGGGTTTTTTACTATTTCTATTATATTTGAGGGACTGCACAAGAAATTGATGAAGAAATTGCATGAATGCAACAAACAAGATGAAGAAAATGTAACTAGATATCTAAAGAACTCAAGATAATTTTCCAAAGAAAAATTCGTTTGAGGGTTTAAAATAGGAAAAACAGAAACCAGTTTCTCTTGGCTGAAGTATCGGAGCCAATTGTCTCAAACTTCTTTTCCATTCAAACTGAGGTCTCTGAAAGAAAAGTCCACAAATGGCACCAATCAAAACCCCCTAAAGTTTCTTTAAGCTTGACTTCTTTCCTACTTCATCCAAAGTATGCAAAAGTTTCACAGAAACCCCTAAATTGAAAATCGAAATCTATGATGTGTGATTTTGGGGCTCCTTTTTTTAAATTTAAGCGTTGGACATGAAAGAGGGCATTGAAATTGCCCTAGACTTTTTTTTTTTTGTTCCTTTCAGGCCTTAAAATCTCCCATGTGGCTGCAAAATTGAACAAGCACCATCAATCAAACCCCCCATAAAACTTTTTTTTTGGGGAAGTAAACCCCCATAAACTAAAGTTTCTTTAAGCTTGACTTCTGCCCTACTTCATCCAAAGTTTGCAGAAGTTTCATGGAAACCCCTAAATTGAAAATCAAAATCTTTGATGTGTGATTTGGTGTTTCATTTTTTATATCTAAGCATTGGACCTGAGAGAGGGCATTGAAATCGCCCTAGACCCTTTTTTTTTTTTGGGTTCTTTTCAAGCCTTAAAATCCCCCATGTGGCTGCAAAAATTAAAAAAGCACTTTTGATTTTTTGCCCCACTTTTTTGGACTTGGCGAGTCTGTGGAGACTCGGAACCACCTGAGCCCCACAGAACCTCCCAGGCCTGTATAGTCACCTGGGGATTTAGTGAAAAAAGGTTCCCCCAGCAAGTTGGAGGCTGTCTGGGAACTGGCAGGATGGCAGTTCTGGGTGACTCAGGTGCGTCCTAATTAGATTCAATAAAAATTTAAACCATGCATGGATTCATTCATTAAAAAAAAAAAATTATGCACAGACTATATAAAAGAAAAGAAAACGTATGCAGGTAATTTATTTGTCATACCTTCCACTGCTAAGGTGTTGCAGCTTAGGTGCTCATTTTGTCAAATATAACATATGCATCCTGTTGATCTGTGTAATTCTATGCATTTGATCAAATTTAAGACATGCAAGCTGGGAGTGATTATGGAAGTGATCCATTTTCGTGGCATATGGATTGGTTATTGTAGATATATCATTATCTGTCATACCTTCCACCGCTAAGTTGTTGCAACTTAGGTGCTCATTTTCTCAAATATAACACATGCATACTGTTGATCTGTCCAATTCTATGCATTTGATCAAATTTAACACATGCTTAGTGTTGAGCTGTATGACTTTGTGCTTATATATTTTAGCTGCTGGGAGTGATTATGGAAGTGATCCATTTTAGTGGCGTATGGATAAGTTCTAGATATTGACATTATGGTTACAGTTGAATAACCATTTCGTTCATAGAGGCTTTTTTCCTCCATTGTATGCAACCTATTTTGTTTTTGTTTCACTGCTACTTGTTTCTTGTTTATGTGGATCTTGTAATGTACCCATTAACTGAAATATGAGATGATGTACTTTGAGGCAGCATCGCTTTTGACATGTCTGAAAGATCACCCAAGGAAGGGAGAGAAACTTACACTATCTCCTGGTGGTTCACTTGCTGTTATAACAGACTCCCTTGGACGTATTCTATTGCTAGACACACAAGCCCTTGTCGTAATACGGCTGTGGAAGGTTTTCTCTCATCTGAAATGAAATAGCATTTCAGTTTCCTCAATTGATGACTACCTTTACTAAGTAAATCCTTTGCAGGGATATCGTGATGCATGCTGTTTTTTCATGGAAATGCTTGTTGGCAAAGACATGCCTTCAAATTCAGTTGAATATGGAAATTCAAAGAGTGACTATTGCCTTTGCTTAGCTATTCATGCTCCTAGAAGAGAAGTAGTGGAGGTACTACTTTCAACTTGAGGTTTTTTGGAGCCTAGCTCTTGGGTCTGCTTCTTTGCAGTGCATTGTATTGTTCTATGCAGTGTTTTGAAACCTGGCAATCCCTGATCTGGATCATTGATCTGGACCCGGAATTGGCCGGGACTGAACCTGTTTTTAGAAGGTATTGATGCTTGCCCTGTTCTCCCCTAAAACCCATCATATTGTATTTTTTTTTCCTTGTTCTTTTTAAGCATATTCAATGTTTCTTATGTCCCCTTAAATCCTCACCCCATTAACCCCGATTGTAATTTTTATTTTAATTTTCAATATTATATGGATTGCCGATTCAGACCATTCTAGACTGATCCGGATCACCAATCCAGCTATTCGACATGGATAATGTCGGGTGGATGATCAAGCCCACCAAGCCGGGGTTTGAAACAGTTGTTCTATGCTTCTGTGCTGGGTATTAACTTCACAATCTCTATAATGATAGTTTAAAAAATGCTCCCCATCCCACATCACACATCTGCCCTTATTTACATGAAATTTCTGATTCAAAAATAGATTGCTTTGTTATACACCATTACTAGTGTCTAGAAAATGTGATTTTTCAGTTAGTGTTAAGTCTTATCTGGCCGAATGCAATCTGTGAACTGTTTGTTCTTCAGTTGTTAATTATGAAAAGATGCCTTTAGGGCCTGAATTTGAGACCACTGCCTTGGTGATATCTGCAATAGGGTTATAAAAATGGGCATGAGATACTGTTCATTGGTGCGCATGTTTGGGTGCCTGTTGTGGTACTTTTTTCATCCACAAACCACTTAAAATCAAGGGCAGCTTGGAATAACCTGGGAACTCGAAATTTGTTTTCTCCACATCTTGTCTAGGCCTATGTTGCATGGACATGAATACTTAATCTCAGTATCAGACATTGGTGGGGGCATTGGATCCCTCATACCATGAAGAACATGATTCTGCAACTAGGTGATTTTGAAATGGACAATAGAATCCAACATTGAGAAATGTATTATGCCTTAGTTGGCTGAATCCATAATGGTTTGAAAGTTGTCTCCTCAAAACAGAAGAAGTTCTAGTCTCTCAAATGTAGTCAATGGTTTGTGAACAAGAAGAAGAATGAGTCTGTGTGTGTTGGAATGTGCCTGACACAGGTGCGGCACCCAAACAGAAGAATCTATGTAATATAGGTTCCAGATTTGTCTTCTCTTTGCTCAGAGTCTCCTCCGCTCCCAGTTTCACCATCCTGGGAAAAGGACTTGATTGCAACAAAATTTCAACCACATTTTGGGCTAGTTCTGTGAGATGCTAGATTGGGTTTCATTGGAATTGTGTACATATCATTATCTGCAGACCAACAGACCCTTCATTCCTAACTTTGGCATGTGCAAGAGTTCGCTTGTCTGTTTCAATAAAGTAAATTTCTCCAAATCTGGCAGAGTTAAATTAAGCATTTTTCAGACGGGTTTGTTAATTTTGTTACAAATTTCAAACATTGGAAATTGCTCGTCAGAAACATTACTGTCAAGCACTTGATATGCATGGAGAGGGTTTAAATAGAAAAAAGGTCTTTGATGAGGACGTCTATTCCGTGTTACTCAGGGCAGGCACAATATTTGGATGGCTATACTCTGGTTTTTGGGTGTAGAGATCATGCTGTTTCCCATTTTTGGTCTGCCAATGAGGATTTTTTAATACATTTGTGTAGCCTTCTATTGTTGTTTCTAGTGGAGGGCCTTGGTTTGTCTGGCAATACTGAGCATTTCTTCTTAAATATGTTCAGTACCACATTCTTCTTTTTCATTACAACCTTATTTTACGACTCCATATTTCTTTAGCACTTTTTGAAAGCATATTGTCATAAACGATGTTTGTTCTTGATGGATAAGATGGAGAGTGCGAGATTTCTGAAAGTTGCAGTTACACGGTGTATACACAGCGGTACCAGTCTCATATACATTAGTTTCTTGCAAGTACAAAAAATTTTGAGCTAAATTTTGTATACATCTAGACTGGAGGTTCTTTCACTGTTCAACAATTCATGGCAGTTCGATGTGTCATTGTCACGAGCTAGCTTGTGCAATTTTCCTATTTTTTGCGACCTATAAAGTAGCAACATCGAAGACAGCACAGAGGTTAGAGTGAGAAACTGGTATCATGTGCGTTGGACAGTCTCAGTATCCTTCTAGGGTCTCAAACCTACACAGAGGGAGCTTTCAAGGGAGAAGCTATCTGGACTTAACGTTAGTACTTCCTCTTTATCCGGTGGTTAACCAAGTATAGTGCATGAGAATTCCTGAAGCAGACCCCAAGATACAAACCTCCTTGGTGTAAGTCCTTAAGATATGATTTGAGTTCACTGTACCACATTTTTAGCTTCTAGGAGGTCCTTGTCCTTCCTATTGATCTTGGTGGTAAGAGACTTGCCCCATCTAAGAGACATGCGGCCACTCCTTGCTTCATGCAAGTGAAACCTGGCTAGCATATCTTGTCACGTGTCATACTAGTACTCTCCTAAAGGGATAGCCATTCCCTTGCCCATACATGGCCCGCCCACCTATGTCTACTTTCTCCAAGGTTTCAATAAATGCTACGCGGCCTGCCTGGTGCCCAACGCCCAGTGCTTAGGCGGTCGCCCAGAATGTTGGGCACCCGGTGGTGCAAATTCTTATCATTTTTTTATATATTTGCTATCCAAATGCACATATATGCATATATTTGTGTCAAATTTTGTAATTTATTCCATTTGAAAATATCACAAGTTCGCAACATACGTTTTATATACAAACATATCACATATCTCAGATTGAGAGTAAACTTATTCAAAATTTCAAACCATACAAAACATTTAAAGGTCTAATAGGCTATATTGTAAGGTCTCCAACTCTCATATTCTCCATATTCCATATCCATAATAACATCCAAGTCTCCAAATCTTCAACAAACTGACTTCCAAAACTATAAAAAATCAGTAAACTACATAACAGAATAATCCAAAAAGGTAAAAAAAGTATAAACCACATAAAAAAATAAAAATAGTCCAAATGTCTAATGCCCAAACCAAGATGGTGCAATAAAGTTACTGCAAAAGAAGAGAGAAGACATCAATAAGAATCAGAATCATCATCTTCATTGCTTTCATCTGCATCAGAATTGAGGCCGTCATCATTAGAATCATCACCCTCTTCAACATATTCTTCTTCTTCTAGAGATTCTTCTGAATCTGCCTCCTCTTTCTCTATCTCCCTTTGTGAAGTACCAGCAGAAGAAGTTGCTCGAGTGGCCCTCCTAGGATCAAAAGCTTGTACCGAAGCCTCCTTGACCATTTCTCATGTCAAACCCTTCTCAGGGAAGACCTCCTCAGTACCAGGGTCACTAACTAGCCAATCTGAAGCATTCTCCATGCCTTTCAAAGAGATAGGATCCTTCTTTGGCTGGTTTTTCTTCTCCTTGAGCCTTTGATTCTCTCTAACATAAACCAAGTCATTGAGCTTTTTTTGCTCAAGCCTATTTCTTCTCTTTGTATGCACTTATAAGCAAAAATGCATAAGTAACTACTATAAGTCTATAATCTTCTTGCATTCTATGAATCTATATTACAAAATGAACTTATAAACAAGAAAAGCATATAAAATTGTAAAATAGTACAATACTATCTCAAACGAACTCCAATTGCGTTCACAACCAGAAGTGGTAGTTGTCAAACTCAAGATCCTTATAGCCATCTTCTGGAGGTTTGGAGCGCTACTCCCATGTTGTCTCCACCATTGGGTTGTAATATGTGGGCAACCTTTATAATTAATTTAGTTATTTAACTTTATCAGAACTTGAAAGTTGAAACTTGAAAGAAAATTATAATTTATAAAACATAAGTCGAAAGTATACCATCTGGTTCGTCTTTGTTTCTTTGTCTTAATGCTATATCTTTACCAAATGACATCAAAGAACACTTGTACGAAATTAGCTCTTCAGTTGATATCTTATCTTGGATATATGGATCAAGAACTAGTTTCTCAAGGCATTCATTAAAACGTTCTATAATTATCACCTTTGACTCAATATCCGTATTTGCATAAAAGAATTTGGGGTTCAAGTAGTACCCCGCTGCATGCAATGGTCTATGGAGCTGCCTATCCCGTTTGTCATCTATAAGCTCCCAAATTGGGGCATACTTGGCTGCATTATTGCCCAAATTCTCTGCAATCTCATTGTTAGCCCTTTCCATTGCATCGTATATAAAGCTCATGAGGGCTTATCAACTTCAACCAAGCGCAAGACCTTCTTCACCAAGGGAAGAAATACTAATATCGCATGCTTCACCCCACACCAAAACTATTTCGAAAGAACAATATGTTGTGCCTTCTTTCCCTTGGCATTTCTAGACCACTTACACCTACTCCATTTTTTTGAAGGAAACATAGACCTTAATGCAATCCCCCTTTTAGGCATGCTCTATAGACTAAGGTAGGCAGTGGCAAATCTATTAACCCCAGACCGCACTAGCTCTCTTTTTTTTGTAAACTTACGCATCATGCTAAGGGTAAGTATGTGACTGTATATGAAGATTGTAACCTCCTTAGCCTTAAAAAGAATTCTTTTAATAATAGGCAATTCACCAATGGCCTCAAGCATAAAGATCTACGCGATGTGCAGTACAAGGAGTCCAAAATATGCGAGGCCTCTTCTGTCGAAGCAAATGACCTACAACTAGATTGTGAGCAGCATTATCTGTGACTACTTGAATTACAAGTTCCTCCCCAACCTCCTCAATGCCCTTATCAATAAAGGAAAATATATAATGCACATCATGAATATCATTGGAAGCATCAATTGAGCGCAAAAAAACTGTACCCGTGAGACAATTTACTAACGAATTCATGTTACTCTTCCTCTTCCTATCACTCTACATATCTGTCATTAAAGAAACCCCAAATTTAGCCGATCCCTCCTTATGAGTTTTGAGATATTCGTTAGTATACTCGACTTCTTTCTTCAATAGTGGC